ATGACTGAAAATGACACAACAACAACAATCTTCCTCTTTTCCAGGTATGCATGTCCCTTTTTACTTCATGTCTGACATGCAGTGCTATTATTGTCAGATTGATATAATTCTGCACATATGTATTAAATAGCTATAATACACAAGATATTCTAGTAGGTGCCAGAAATACAAAAACAAAACTGAAACAGTCCCTGATCTCAAGGAGCTATGTTGTCCTGTGAATTTTTCAGGATTTTATTTCTTTTAAGATCATTGTGTTAAGTTAAAGTTTTATTAATTATACAATATAGTATAAAATTCTCTCCAGAGGCACTGTCTCAGTAAGAATAAATAAATAAATAAATAAGACCCTTGTGAAAAGTTTTTCCAGGGTATTCTATTCAGGTAGAAAGATATTGTTGCCAAAAATTGGCTTGTCCTTTACAAAAATATGTGCTTATCTTTGTGAAGACATGCTATTAGTCCTCCTGTTTGCATTAAAGAAAAGAAACTATGTAGAATTTATTAATTAGGCTTTTCTTCACCGGATAACAAAATAACTTCAGGGGATGCGTGTTAAGTTCTTTAAAAATCACCAATATAGTTTTAGTTTAGATGTGGAAAGTAAAAAATTCAAATAATTTCTATGTCAATCCAGTATTCTTTTGTGTTATATGCCTGCATGATTAAATGGCATAAATTTCCTGTCAGACTAAACTCTTAAAAGACCATTTATAGCCATTTATCCATCCACTGAATGCCTATATATCTAAATGGTTTTATCACTCTGTCATAACAGTTCTTACTTAATTGATTATAAAATTCTCTTATTGAAATAGCTAACTAATTTTTCATTTTTAACAGAATATTTAAACAAAAATTGAGGAGAGAGACCTGTAAGGATAGACCTGAGAGCTTCCCAACTTTTGATAGTTAATCTTTTATCTTCTATGAGATATTGTGATGCATGTGGTAAGTATATAGGGGAGCAAAAAGAGAGTTGTCCCCAAAGTCCAGAAAACCTCAAGTTCAGACCCAAACATATATTGGCTCTGGGTGATCCTGGGCAAGTGCCTTAATCCCTTAGTGGCCCCAGCAACTCTCTAAGAATATAAGTTGCACAACAGTTGGTGATCTTAATTGTATCAGAAATAGTTTTCTCATGAGTTCCCTACATCAATGAAATCATAGGTCTGGACACACGTACAAAAATAAATAGATTAATATTTGCTAAAGGAATGAATGCATTTTCTAATAATTTCTATGTGTTTTCCTTCCTGTTATAGCACATATGATTTCAGATAATATTAAAGTAAGCATGAAAAGAGACATTTATAGAGTGAATAATTCCATCCATTAAAAAAATCATAATAGTATACAAACTACAGGAATTCCAAGAAGAAAAGTCATAATAGATCTAGATAAAAGGTGTGAAAGTTTTCTGATAAGTATAAAAGTCCTAGGCAAATGGCATTACTATGGTACAGAAAGCTTTCTGAAAAATGTGGGTCTTGAATTAGGTAGGCACTGAGGGAAGTGCTAAGTATAATAATATAAGCAGTTCTTGATTACACAAACTAATGAGGAAAAGTATAACTGATTAATATAGAAGTTTAGCAATTATCCAAAAACCTCTGAGTCAAGGGAATCAACTTCTTAGAACATTATTTTTTTAAGCCAAAGCTGGCAAAAAGTAGCAGAACTTACTATCTGAATTCCACTTCCTCTTTCTGTCCCTGTCCACCTCCTTGGTAGAGATGCCAACAGCAAAAGAACTACAGCAATAAAAAAGGAGGAGCAAGGAGTCTATTAAACCATAACTGAATAACTAGTAGTTATTGCAGAAAAGCTAGGATTTTGTCCATAAATACCAACATTTTACAATGCTAGCAAATACCTTAAGGGCTCTCATTGCTACTCCTACTAATGCCAATTTTATCAGCTTTGATTTTTAACCCTCTGTCCTAGCAATATAAAAGGTATTATTTGTATGCTTGTATTTCTTCTTTCTTTTTACTCTTCTACAATTTAAAACAAAAGTAAGGCATTTTAAGCCTTTGAAATAATCAAATTCTTTGTTTCTTAAATAATTAAGTCTTTGTATTAAGATCTTAATAATAATAATAATAATAATCTCATTTCAGATACTTACTAGCTATGTGGCCTTAAGTTAGTCACTTAACCTCCCTCAGCCTCAGTTTCCTCATCTGCAAAATGAGGGGGTTGGACTAGATAAACTTTAAGATCCCTTCAAACTCTATGATCCTATGAACTTAAATCTGTGATCTTATGAATTCTGTAACTCTGGATAGTCAATTTTCAGTTCACAATAAATTTGGAAGTCCAAGTTCACATATATAAACATACACACATATTTTAAGAAACTGAATAAGGTATTTATCAGTATACTTTCATAAATTATATGAACATACATCAGCATAAGCCAGGCTAGTCTTTATCAGAAACTATGCAAATAAGTTAATATTTACTGAACAAATATCGCATGTGTTTGCTTACTGCATGAGTTTAGCTACAGATGTACTATATACACATAGACCTACCTGGAAAAAGGCTTACTACAAATGTAGATTTTGCTAATAAATTTTGAGCAGTGTCACAAGCTAGTGCCTATAAGTTTGACTGAATGTCTGTATGATTACAGTAAAAGGGAAAACAATTTTCAAATTTGACTTTGCTCCAATATTCCTAAAGCATTGGGAATCACATTTTACTCCAATATTCCTAAAAAAAAATTTAATTCAATATTTCTAAACCCTATTGGAAGCATATAATAAGTAACCATTAAAAAAACTTAACAATAATAAAGGTAGAAATATATTTGTCAATCTGGCATTACATGCTATTGGAAATGAGTATATCACAAATTATTATATTTCTCTCTGTTTTAACTGAATTTTTAAAGAATTTCAGGTGTGTATATTATCATTGAACTGTATTTTGATTAAATATATAATTACACAATAAAATAAAGTTTCATAGGAATAAAAATACAGTTACATCAAAATATGTGAATTACAGCAACACAATCTCTCTCTTACTTAAGTAGCAGTTTACCAACACTCAAGCACCACCCCGTAAGTAACAATTACAGAAAATACCATTTCAATTTTCTACAGATAAAAATTTTCAAGAATTTTTGGCAAAATCTTTATTTTGAGCTGTACTTAAAAAGCTTTTAGAAAACAAAACCTTATTGTCCATTAAGTGAAATAAATTATTTAAATGAGTTAATTTTTTCATACCACAGTCTACTAATGAAACAAATAAATTGCCAAACAAGCATTAAAATCCAGATATTAGCTCTCCAAGACCAATTATTTTTAAGTAACATAAGTACAGGGGTCATGATAACATAGATAATTGGTTATTTTAGAGGAACAGTGCCTTCCTGGAGGTATTAGGAGTATCTAATGAAAATGTGCTCTTGACACAATAAACTATTTTAAGTAGTAGTTTTCATTAAAAATATGAAATATAATAAAACTAATACATATTATGTATGTTTGTGTATACACAAAGAAAATGAATGGTTTGTTTATAGAACAAGAAAGACTACTAAACAGAGATTTTTTTTTTTAATCCTCTAAGTTATTAGAGGTCAGTGTGGTAGTTTCATCATGCTAAAACACTTCTTTGGGCGCTTCTGTGGTGTGTAAGAAGTAAGCCGAGAATATGGGCAAGTTCCATTTGATAGCACTGCAAAAGGCTTTCATCTCCTCAGTTCTGACAATTAAGCTGTCTTAAATGTATACATAAATATCATACTCCAACGCTCTTCAAGGAAAAAGGAACAATCCAAAAAAGAAGTGTGGTATTTTTAAGGTGACATGTCTTCTTCACAGTCTCCGTCACACTGCACTTCTAAGGAATCACATAGCCATAAAACATTTAAAGGGAACCTGACCAAACAAATCTCTGAGCAACACTGACAGACAGCGGAAACAGTTTCAAAGCAATGAATACACAACCCTGTCTGGACAGTTCCCTGGTGCTGAAGTTACAGACTGCTAAACCGCGTCCAAAATGTGGCTCTCGGATTTGCTGCTGCTTCCAGCCTAAGGAAATCCCAGTCCCCTAGATTATTCATAGGAATAACAGAACTTCACATGGCAGAAGGCACCCAAGTGTAGTAGTGGTGGGAACTATCGGTCCTTCTGGATTAAACAGATTTAGTAGTTACAAACAGGAAGAGCAGCTGAGTGCAGGGGTGTTGAAATACGCTGAGGGGGAGGGGTTGGAAGATGGCGCCGGTTGCACACCCACCCAGAGCCAGGGCTGAGCCTAGGCCCCTAGAATACGTATCCGCCCTTTTGCTCACTTCCACACACGTCCCAGTCAGTTCTGCACCTCCAAATACGTTCAGGGGCAGAATTGCATTCAAGGAGAAAGCCGAACCGGAGGCCTCTAACCCGTCACATCTGAACCACCGGCTCAGCCCTCTTTTGCACCAGCACCAGTGAGAAGAGCACCTGTGCACGGCCATATTGGATTCCTTGCCCCAGTCATTGCCTCCAAGAGGGGGGTGGAGGGGAAAGGGTGAAGGGACGCAGAGGAGCCTCAATTCAGCACCTGCACTGCCGGAACACACACCCCACCCCCCTCCCCAGAGCAAACCTAATACGAGGGAAAACCGGAAGGCATTTGGAAAATAAAACTGCCCAAAATAAAACTCCCCCTCTTCCCTCCGCCAGCAGCACCCTTAACATCAGCACCGTCCCCCTCTAAACACCGTTTCACACACCCCCACCACTACTACCACCACCAGCGCACGGACACACGTAAAACACCCGAGGCAATAAAACACCAAACAACCCCTCTCAAAAACGCACCCGACAGCGCGACTAAGAGAAAATAATAACGAGGAAGGGGGATGACCCAAAGACAACAAGGTTCTGTCTAGACGCCGGGGGTGGGGGGGGAAGGGGGATGGAGGGATGGAAGGAGGGAGGGCACGGGGGGGAGGGGAAAAAGAGAACCGGACATGGAGCGGTGGTCCTTACTTGAGCACCGATTGCTCCTTTTCCTCTTCTTTCTTCTGCCTGTCCATGACTGCTAGAATAATTTTCCTCTCTTCCTCGGTGAGGTGGCTGAGGTCGGGCATCTCGGGCTGCATAGGCGGCTGAGGAGGAGGAGGAGCAGGGCCGCCCCGGGGCGCGACAGGAGCCGACATGTTTGGTGGAGCTGAACAACACTATGGGAAATACTGTAGCAACTGAAGTGGCGGCGGTAGCAGCGGCGGCAGCAGCCGTATCGGCGGTGGCGGCGGCAACAGCAGCAGTGGTGGTGGCAGGGGCGGCGGCGGCCACCAGCGCTGGGAGAAATACATACAAATCAATAATACCCTTTCAATCAACGGCAACACCCCCCCTCCCCCAATAAATAAATAGCAGGGGGGAGGGGAGGAGAGGGCGAGAGTTGGGAGGAGGGGATAGGAGAGAGAAAGGAGGGGTTGTGGAGTGAGGAGTTTGGGTTTCTTTTCTTCTTTCCGAGGGGAAGGGGTGGAGAGAGTGAAGATATAGGGATGACAGAGAAAGAGAGAGAGATTGGAAAGTGAGTGGGGCGGGGGGGGGGGAAAGAGGAAAGAGGTCTAGAGAGTGTGACAAGTGCCTAGGGAGGGTGGAACGAGGAAGGTGGAGGGGACGGTTGAGGGGTGGGGTAACTGAGAGTGTGAGAGTGAGAAGCCAGACAGCGGTATGGAGTAAGTGTGTGTCAGTGCCGGTGTTTGTAGATTGGGGGAGTTAGGAAAACTGGTTGAGAGGTGAGGATGGGCGGAGTATGTTTAGAAGAGGTGAGCAAGCGTGTGCCTTAAGAGTGTTAGAAAACTGGATGTAAGAAGTGCTCGTTTGGGGTGGAAATCTGAGGATTGGAAAGTGTGAGCCTAAGTGCGCGCGCGTTGACTGTGCGGAACTGAGGAAACTAGGGTGGTCGAGACTTAAAATGAAAATCCTGATTAAATAATAAGTGGGGACTCTTAAGAGTCCCATGAACTCATTTGGAAAGACTCTCGGTAAACTAGAAGAAAAGAGACCCGAGGGAAATGGGGGACGACGATGAAGGGAAGAAGGGGAAACCTGGTAGTAACAGAAGGTGGATGATTTTTTAAAAAAAGAAAAAAGGGAGGGGGACTCAAGTCTTTCGGCCATCACGTCACAGTGGTATTCTGGCGCCGGCGGTGAGGACATCTTGAGGAGAAAGTGATGGTCAAAAGACTGCGGGGGTGGGCACGGCGGGATTGAGACTACAAGGGTTAAAGCAAAGGAGAGAAAGGGCAAGAGGAAAGGAAGGGGAGGAAGAAGCGCAGAGTCTCGGAGCGAAGGCCTCCGCGGGTAACTGAATGGATGTCAAAGCAAGTCCTAACGTACTGAGAGTGCCCGCTGGAGATGAAGACTGCTCGCTCATATCTAGGCGGCGGCCGCCGCCCCCGAGTCCATAGAGCAGCCTTGGGGTGTCCGGCTCCCAGTCTCAACCGCTGCTGCTGCCGCTCCCGACCGTCCCCTTCCTCTCACGCAGGGCGGCTTCGCCACCTGACAATCGTGCCCCGTTCTCAGCTCCCTGCTGCAGCCGAGCCCAGGGCATGGCGGGACGCCCCCGAGGGAGTCAGTCACCCGCTGGGGCTCCGTCTCCCAGCCGCCGCCGCCCACGGAGGGAGACCTGTAGGGAGGAGGAGTGTGCAGGAAGCAGGGCGGGTGGGAGGGAGTATGTTGCTGAGCCAGAGACCGGTACTGACTGCTCTAGCCCCCTTAGCTCCTCTGACACTGGAAGAAAGAAAGGGCAGAGGGGGAGGCGCGATCGGATTTATTGATAATAATAATAATAATAAACTCAGAAATGATTTGCATGAAATCCCGCCGGATTTGAGAGGGAGGGAGCTAGGCGAGAATGAGGAGAGTAGGAGGAGACAAGTCTCAGGAGGATGGCTGGAGACGCGGCGTCTGGACTCCCGCCGGTGCCGGGCGCTGCCCTGACAACTAGCCTAGCTAGAGGGAGGAGGGAAAGGAGATAGGAAGGGAGTGGGGGCGGAAGTCGGGAAGAAGAGGGAAAAAGATGGACCCTTTGGAGGTGAGAGAGAGGAGCTGGACTAGGGAGTGGTGAGAGTACCCCTACTTCCGAGCGCAAGTAGTTTTAGGACTGGGCCAGATTACACTCAGATCGGTAGTGTAAAACCTTGTGGTTTTTTGTGTTTTTCGTTTGTAGTAAGCTGTCTCCCTGCTGCTGTCTCCCAGGTACCTACACAGACTCTAGTTTCAGAGCCGGGTGCAGATGCCCTGGAATCCCCTAAAGAAGTTGGAGCTTCGCTTCCTACTTCTTTTTGCATTCCTTTTTATCTTGTTCCATAAAATCTAAGAAAGAAAAAAAGGGGGAACTTTCCCTCTGTCTAAGCAATTTACACACTACAAAAAACGACCAGCTCCTGCTCTTGTCCCTGCCAAAGCCGGGGAGATCGATTGTCTTCTCTATTCACAATTTGGCAAAACATAAACAGGGGAGAGAAAAACAAACAAAAATTGAAGAAAAATATACATGAAACCTCCTCCCTCCCCCAAAATAACATGCAACTATACATAAGGACATGAATCTATATGCAACATGAATTGAGACTTTAAGAAAAAATTCTAGTGTCAATCCAAGAACATTTATTAAGTGCCTACTATGTGCTAAATGCTGGGGATACAAAAAAACGGCAAAAGACAGCCCCTGTCCTCAAGGAGCTTCCAATCTAATGGGGAAGATAGTGTGCAAGCAACTATAAACAAATGAGCTATAGAAAAGCGAAATTGGAAATAATCAATAGAGGGGGGAAGGCCCTAAAATTAAGAGAGATCTCCAGAGGCTTCATGTATAAGATGGGATTTTAGCTGGAACTTGGAGGAAGCCGGGAAAGTCAAGGGGGAGAGAATTCTAGGCTTGGTCAACAACCACAGAAAATGTCCAGAGTCGGGAGATGGAGTGTTTTGTGAGAGGTCCAGCAAGCAGGCCAATGCCACCCGATGGTTGAATGTATTTGGGCTGGGGGAGGGAGTAAGAGGTGAGAATACTGGAAAAGGCAAGGAGGGGGCAAGTTATAAAAGACTTTGATCTTTGATCTTTGATCTTGGACCCCAAGAGTCTATTGATTAGGAAGGTTAACTAGGTCAGACCTTCTCTTTATTTCTGAAGTCACTACCTTACTACAAAGTACAGTCTGAAGATTGTTTTATAGCAAAACATTCCAAATTTAAGAAAATATTCCAATTTTCCCTAGAAACTTACTCTTTAATCTCCATGTTTTAACTATAATTTTACTTGATTATGAGTGATGAACCTTTACCTTGGCTTAGATATTTGAAGTAAGACTTGAATATGACCCTTCCTTCTGAGACAGGACCTATAGTATTTTAGCACAGGGACACTGAACCTTTGGAACTTGAAAGTAAAGATTCAGTATGAGCCTTTTTTTTTTACTTTCTCCATTATAAATGTTTTAGCCTGAACTACTGTACAGTAACACTGTACTTTTGTACAACATCATCCTAGTCCTTGGTACATATATATAACCCAATGGAAGGAAGGAAACAAGCGTTTATTAAGTGCTTACTATGGGCCAAACATTGTGCTAATCATAGTTGTAGATGCTAATATCTCCATTTTATAATGAGGAAACTGAGATAGGTAGTGGTTAAGTGACTTGCCCAAGGTCACACAGCAAGTAAGTGTTAAAGACTGAATTTGAATGCAGGTCTTCTTGACTGCCTAAAAAGAGCAGTTTCTTAATGGGAAGAAAAGATTCCAGATCTAACTGAAAAAGCTACTGATGCTAAAAAAAAAAAGAGATAAAGAAAATAGCTGACACCCAAAAAGAAAGTGTGTTTCACAAATCCAAAGGAAAAGATAGCAGCTAGGTAGTGCAATAGATAGAGAGTTGACCCTAGAGTCAGGAAGACTTGTGTTCAAATCCAGCCTCAGACACTTAATAGCTAGCAGTCTGGGCAGTCTGGCCTCTGTGTGCCTCAGTTTCCTCATCTGTATGGGGATAATAATATTCCTTATCTCCCAGGGTTGTCAAGAAAAAAAGATAAGATATTTATAAAGTTTCACAAACCTTAAAGTGCTATATAAATGTTATCTATTATTATTATGGGAAGAAAAGGTTTCTGAACATGATAGTCAAGCCCTTATATAATCTGATTCCAACCTAATACCTTTCCAGTGTCATTTGCCACTATTCCCCTTAACCCACCTTGTGCTCCAACCAAACTGGGCTACTTGCCCTTTCTCAAATGTACCCTGCACTTCCTAGCTCCTGAAACTTTACTTATGCCAAAGGTATAAAACAAATGGCCAGCAACACTCCTGATTGCTATTCAACCAGATTAAAATGTAATTGGGAAATATTTAGCAAAATAAATTAAAATCCAATAGAACACAAATAATGTTAACATGTGGTTTTCTATGTATGATTTTTGGCAGTTAAGTGACACAATGGATAGAGCACTGGGCCTGGAGTCAGGAAGACCTGTGTTCAAATTCAGCCTCTAAAGGGAATTATGATTTTCATATGACTCGATATGATGTGTGTAATGAATAGACTAATAATTTCAACTTCTCAGAGCTGCATCTTCTGGCTTAGGAGTCAGAAACTCACAATGCAGCATGAAATGATCAATCAAACCCTTGACAATGCTCTCACAATCACTACTTTCCTGTGCCTGTGTACCTTAAATGAAACAGATCAAAGACTGTAGAATTTTTTCCCTTTACAGAACTCTGGTCCTATGCCCCACCAAATGACAACAACCAAAGAGTTGAAACAATAGTGTTCCCACAGGACTCAGAACTCCTGAATTGTCCTGCGCTCATGGGCTTGTCATGGGAAACCACTCAGGTCCTAGAAATGATTGTTTTGTAATCCACCTTCCTCCTCCTTCCCCACTTGTGATTTACATATATAAATTGTGCCTTTGCTCCAGCATAGAGAACATTCCCCACTCTGAAAATAATTCATTAAACCACCACTTGTTTCTTGGCACTCTAGTCTCTGGCCTACTTTGTGCAGCAATTCACAGGTTACAGACTGGTCATGTATAGATTACATTCAAAATTCTGTTAACAGGCTTCAGATACTAGCTGCATGACCTTAGACAAGTCACTTAATCCTATTTGCCTCAGTTTCCTCATCTGTAAAAAGAGCTG